TGCATTAGGCTGTCCTCTTAGAGTACTTCTGGTTTACAGGAATGATAATCATCTGCATTGTCTGTATTATTTTCATTGATGGGGGAGGGGGACACTTTTTTTTTTGCATTAAAGGCTTAATTACATAAACACTGATATCACATGCCCAGAGTGCATTCTTTTTAGAAAGAGTTTTGGAAAATAAATGGTAACCTATCATACCACAGAGTAATTAACAAAGGGAAATTCCTTGTTATGTAGTGGTATGATTATCAATAATCATTACTGCAAGAATTGCATCTATGTTAGTAGGAATCTGTGTTGTTTTTGTGTAACAGGCTACTATTTGGGGAGCATAGGAAGCTTCTAAAAATGTCTTCCAATGAAATAAGTGGTAATTATGTTTTCAAATTGTGAGATAATACAGTCTTTGGGCACTTGTTTGAGTACTTTAAGAGATCCAAAAACCGTTGTCTTTTGGTAGCAGTGGTGGCACTACTTGACATCATTCAATCTCAAATTAATAAGACTATAGAGGAAGATTTAAATGTGCACACAAAGAAAGTCATTTCTGCAGGATTTGTGGTATCATGACATGGTACTACAGTTTTCAGACCTTTTAGTTGTGCCACCCTTTAAGCAAAGGAACCCTTGCTTGGAAGGAACCATGTATGAGAGACGAGAACAAAGCCAATCTGGCTAAGGGATTGTGAGCAAGAGCAGAACCGTATCTTCTTCTTGGTTAATTCTTTTCTCCTATAGACTGCCTGACACAGCACCATAAAACCAACCCCAGAAATGAAAGGAGCTTAGAGAAGGCTCAGATGGCCCTGGACTCAAATCTTAGATTAGCCGTTTACCAGTGCTATGACCTCGGGTGTAATATTATTAATAATACTAAAATCAATAAAACAAATAACTTATACCAATTGAGCACTAAGCACCTAGCACTACTCTAAGTACCTTATCTGCATTAATTCAATCCACACAGTAATATGAGATAGGTAATATCATTACCATTATTTTATCTATAAGGAAATAGAGGCTCAGAAGAATTAAGCAATTTGTCCACAGATCCCACAGTCAGTAGTAAGTGGCTGAGCTGAGATTCAAACCCCTACAGTCTAACTCTGTAGTCCTCATTAATAACCATAAAAGTTCCTAACCTCTTCCGCCCAGTTTGGCTCAGCCATCTTGAAAATAGGGATGGTATTAATAATCTTGAGAAAAAGTGTCCTGAACAAAGGCATTCAATAATTATCATTCTTTTCATAAGGAATAGCATAGAACACATGCCCTCCAGACACTGATAACTTCAGTGTTGAATCATCTGTCAAATAGCTCCTGTCAAATGTCTGTGTGAGCCAATTACTACTTAAGAGATGGTTCACAGGACATGCCAACTACTGAGTCTTCAAAACAAAACAAAAAAATTAGTGATTTGTTATTCCAAAAGAACAGCCAAAGGCACATATAGAGAAAATAATAAATGAAATGCAGCCATATATAGGGTATATACAGAAACTAATAACTGTTTCCCAAACAATGAAAAGGAGATCCTGTTCACAAAAGTAAATAGAATATACATGTGACAAGTATCTATTAAACATTTATTAGGTGCCACTAGACCAATCAAGGCACTAGAGGTACATCAGCAGAGCCTCTGTCCTTGTGGAACTTACATTCTAGTACAGGAGGCAGACAATAAGCAAAGAGATAAATATTGGACATAATAGGTCTGCTGGTGATAAGTGTTACAAAGAAGTATAAACAGGATATGAGGACAGAGAGTGACGTGGGAATGCTATGCTAGATAAGGACAGGGAACACCTCCTGACATGGTGACATTTCAGCATAAATCTGGATCTAGAGGAGAACATTCCTGGAGAAGGGACAGCAAGCAGAAAGGCCCTGCAGTCGCCAGCAGACATGGCTAAAGTGACACAGCCAGGGAGAACATCAAAGAAATTTAGCAAAGGCCAAATCACATTATGACACTGCTGGCCGTGATGAGAACTTCAGATTTTATCCTGAGATGGGAAGCCACTGAAAAGTTTTGGAGAGAGTAGTGATATGATTTAATTTAAATTTTAAGGCTTACTCTGCGTTTCTATGGAAAATCACCTATAAGGGGGCAAGAACAGAAGCAGAGACCAATCAGAAGACTATGTGTCGATCTTGTAGGCCCTGCGCAAGTCTAGCGATGAATGTGCAAGTCTTATACAATGAAAACCACAAAACTCAAATGGGTGCAATAAGGGCTTCCATAAATGAGAACTCCACTGTGTTCCTAGAAAAGACTCAACATGATAAAAGATTTCTTTGTCCCTCAATTTATCAAGAGCTAACATTTTATAGGGCTTACTACATGCCAGGCACTGTTCTAAGCGCCTTACATGTATCAACATAGGCAACTCTCTAATGTGGGTACTATTATTATTCCCATTATCAATATGAGCAAATTGAGACACAAATCATGCAAGTAACTTGTCGAGCTAGGACTTGAACCAAGTAGTCTGGCTACAGGTATTCCTCCCTACCGATTTGCAAAGGACCACTCTACAAAGAATGCCTTGGAATGTCTTAGACTTTCTCTCTACAAAACTCTCACACCTGTTCCAGACAGTAGCCCTGGGAGCCCTTCTAGATGTGATGCTTCCAGGATAGAAGACTAAGGAAATGGAAGGAGGGACACTTTGTGCTGAAAGGTTAGGAAAATAGGTCTCCTGGGGTCCACACAACCACACTGAGGGTCCTTCCCTCCACACCCATCCCAGATTCTCAATTGCGGATCCTGGGCCAAGGCAAGGCCTTGAGGATCAGCCACATAATCTTCTTCTCTCAGAGGCAGAAGGAATTTTGTCAGAGGCACCATCATTTTAGGAATTCCTGTGGAGAGAAATTAGGAGACAGGAAGAGGCACTGAGCTCACACAAGGCTGCCTTCTTTAGAAGGTGTCTCATTCGTCCCTCAAAGATTCAATATTGTCAAGATATCAGTTCTTCTCAATATGATCTATAGATTCAATGCAATCCCAATCAAAATCCCAGAAAGTTATTTTGTGAATATCGACAAACCAATTCTAAAGTTTATATGGAGAGGCAAAAGACCCAAGCTAGCCAACACAATGTTGAAGAAGAACAAAGTTGGAGAACTGACACTACCCAACTTCAAGACTTACTATAAAGATACAGTAATCAACACAGTGTGGTATTGGCAAAAGAATAGATAAAGAGATCAATGGAACAAAAATAAAGAGCTAAGAAATAGACCCACATAGGCCGGACATGTGCAGTGGCTCATGCCTGTAATCCTAGCACTCTGGGAGGCTGAGCAGGATTGCTTGAGGCCAGGAGTTCAAGACCAGTCTGAGAAAGAGTGAGACCCCATCTCTATAAGAAAATAGAAAAATTAGCCAGGCGTGGTGGCATGTGTCTGCAGTCCCAGCTACTCAGGAGGCTGAGACACGATCGCTTGAACCCAGGAGTTTGAGGTTTCACTGAGCTATGCCACTGTACTGTAGCCTGGGTGACAGAGCAAGACTCTGTCTCAAAAACAAAACAAACAAAAAAAAAAGAAATAAACAAACCCAAATAAATATAATTAACTGATCTTTGACAAAAGAGCAAAGGCAATATGACAGAGAAGACAGTATTTCCATTCATCCCTCACAACCATCCAAAAGTTCAGCCAGGGGCTCAACCAGATTCTCCTCCTGGCTCCTTGGCTGGCGGCTCCAAAGTGCTGACCACCTCAGCCATTCTGACGGTCTGATCCTATGACTCTTATCTCAAGGCATGTGAGCCCCCGGGAGCTTCCAGATCAGGCTCCTTAAAAGGATTGCTAGGAAATCCACTCTCTTGACTGTTTCTTCTCAATAAGGCATCAGAGACCCTACTTAGATTAGGATATCCCAATCTATGAAGGCTCTGAAAAGCGAGACATGAGCCATAGCCTCTCAAGGGCCTTGTGCTCACTGGGAAATTAAGAACCTGGCAGATGATATCTAGAACATGTTACAGTGCCACCAATAACCTGAAGAAGCTACGAGACACAGACAAGCTTTCCTACCCCAGGCTCAAGCACCCAGAACCCTCTGTGAATCAGAGTATCTCTGCAATCAGAAGGAAAAGCAAATGCCTGAAAAGCGGCAGAGTTAGGTGCCCTGAGTACTTCTGGGGTCTAGCCACATTCAGCCCAATACCTTCCTTACCCTGCCTCTCCAGCCACAGCTCGCACAGTGAGGAGAAAAGTCTCGAAGACGCACACTCAGTCCACAAATAAGATCACTGAACTACATCAAGTCAGGACAGAAAGAAGACCTGGGACCCTTTGGAAAGAGTTTCAACGACAGGTTTGCTATAATCAATACAGGCTTCTGGGCACTCCTATCAAATTAATCAGCCAGAATAGCCCACTGGCAGTTCTTTCCAATTAACTACAGTTTTGCTGAATCTTTTCAAAAGAACATCCCCTGCTGGCTGATGTGAACATTAAAACCAAACGATCAAGATGGAGAAAAACAATATGGCATAAAGAACATTCTAATCATTAGGTGAATCAATACAAAACTGCCTTCCATCTCAGAAACACTCAGACCAGCTGGGGAAGTGAGCTGACATCTACATTAGATGACAAAGTCTGCTAGATTTTGAGTTTCAGCTCAACTGTAATAAGTTATAATGTGCTCTGAAAAATTTGCAATAGAACCAATCTCATTGCATCTCATTGCACCTAAGCTGCCTCGCAGCCAGGATCCAAACTGAGACAGAGTTATGCATATGATACTTCCACACTGTCTCCACAGAGACCTAAAGTATCCCACCAGACATCAGAGAGTTCTACAAGTTTGTACTTTAAAAAAGAGATGACATGCAAAATAGCATTATTTAAAAATACATGTAACAAGAGGCATCTCTCTATGCAAAAAAGAAAAAATAATAATAAAAAGGAAAACGAGAGAAAACAGTTTCTGAAACGTGAAGAAAGAAGCAACAGTTGCTGGGATTCCCGGAGTGTACCTGCAATGATCCCGTCCATTTGCTCCAGGGCAGCTTCCAGCACGTGACTAGCATCAGAAGCCATGACTCCTTGCCCTTCTCAGTCTCCTCCTGCTCTTACTGAAAATTCAAACACAGAACACAAAAGAAATTAGAGAGTACCACATTAGACACACAAGACTGCAAAACCCTTTAATTCCATCATCACACAAAGCACTTTCATAAGAATCCTAGGAGCCCCCATGTGTTTCTGCGTCTCTGTGTCCTCTCCCTCCTGGCATGAGTGCTCTTTTTCCACGAATCTGTAGTACATGATCCCGTTCACTTCTATAATGAAAAGCTGCCAGGGCTCTCCAGAGTCACCTGTAGCGGCAAGACAGCAGTTGTTACACCTCGCCACGACAGTCCCAGGTGGGCACCCTGTCAGGGCATGTGCAGCACTGGGTCGGTCACAGCAGACATTTCACTGTCATGTCTGCATTTACCCCACACCTGCAATGCTTTCCTCGGGTAGTGTGATCCAGGCTGAGCGGCCTCAACTGCCACTTCCATCCCTCCAAAAGGGCCAGTGTGCCCCACCTAGGAAGGTCTTCTCAGGCACAGTGATGTGGAGAGAGCACTGGCCCAGGAGCACTGTAACTGACCATCTTAGATCCACTCTACTCAGCACCATTCAAGGTTCAGAATCCCATCCTCTCAGGGCTGAAGAACATTCCCAAGGATACATAGTCTAGCCACTTTCCTAAAACTGAATCTCCCCTTTAAGGGTCCTATCTACAGCCAATCCCCACCTCACACCCCAACCCCTAGGCAACTGCTTCCATCTCTGGACAATTCCGCCTCCTAGAAAAGTCTTTAGCTTAAACTCTATTCCTGCAGTCTCTTTAAATTTTTCTTGCTTCCCACCCCCTCCCTGGATAGCAGGGAGGGACCTACAAGAACACTTGTAATCCTAAGAAGAGACTTAGCTCATGTCTATAAACTGGAGCAGGGGTCATTTGTTTGCTCATTCAGCAAAACCTACGCATGTGCCTAAAGGGCATAAGTGCTGTGGGGAGAGGGCATGGCTCCCACACCCAGCATGGCACAGGCCAGGAAATCGATGGTTCTGAGGGTCTCTGCTCATTTTCCTTGTGAAGTGCAACCTTTGGAGTGGAGAGAGGACAATAGGCACCACATAGGAGTGGCTTTGGAGATGGTGTGGATAAGGATTTCAGGACCACAAAGAACCACACTGGACTGGACTGGCAGTAAGCAGTGAAATCCACAGGCCCTAGAGTCAGACAGCCTGAGTTAAGACCCAGCTCTGCCATGTACTGTGTGACCTCTGAGCTTCAGTGTCCTCATCTGTAAAATGGGGATAACAGCATCTAACTCATAGGATTGATGTCATGATTAAGGGATAATTAAGATTTCATAGAAAGCACTAAATGCATTCCCTTGCCCTAGAAAGTGTTCAACATATGTTAGCTATTTTGCTTTTTGGTTTTGTTAAGTGAGGAGATAACCTCAGGACATATTTTTGCCAGAAAAGCTCAGATGAGACGTTAAACAAAAAGGGCCAGATGCGGTGGCTCACACCTGTAATCTCAGCACTTTGGAAGGCCAAGGCAAGAGGATCTCTTGAGGCTAGGAGTTCAAGACCAGGCTGGCAACATAGCGAGACTCCATCTCTACAAAAAGTAATAATAATTTTTTAAAAATTGGCTGAGTGTAGTGGTGTGCACCTGTAGTCACACCTACTCAGGAGGCTGAGGCAGGAGGATCACTTGAGCCCAGGAGTTTGAGGCTGCAGTGAGCTATGATCATGCTGCTGCACTCCAACCTAGGTGACAAAGTGAGACCCTCTGTCTCCCGGGAGGGAGAGCCCAGATAAGCCCAAGAAGCTGGTTCATTTGAAGAAGAAGACAAGCAACCATGCATGTGGAGCGGGGAGAAGGTAGTGACTCACAGGTGCAAAGGCCAAGCAGACATTCAGCCTTGGAGCTGAGAACCAGTGCACAGATAGCTTGGAGGGAATGAGGAAGGGCACTCAATGGGGGAGGGGGTGTCAGGGAACCTCACTGGCACCTTAAAACTCTGGCAGGAACCAGAAAAGGCTACAAGGGAAAAAAGCTGCTCTGAGCTAAGAACAGCAGCCCAGATAGCCACAGAGCAAACATGGTGTGGAAATCTTGGGGTCTCAAGGAAAGCCAGCTTGGGTCAGAATAAAAGAAGAGGTAGCAGGAAAAAGGAGAGTAGCAATAATCAGCAGATTCTCACCTGTTCAGCATAAGGGATATTCAAAGTTTGAAATACTTCCCTCCAAAAACTTCCCAGTGCTCTTGGGGTAAAATTCCAAACTCCCTACTGCGGCCTATGCAAGAGGTGCTGCAGGATCAGGGACCCCTCACCTCTCTTTCCCTGTGGCTCCTCATGCTTTAGCAGCCTTGGTCTCCTCTCAGTTCCCCAAACACTCCAAGACCTCTTCCTCTGCAGGTTTACACCTGCCATCGCACTGCCCTGAGCTCGCTCCCCAGCTCTCTGTACGGCTGATTTACTCTCATCCTTCAGGTCTCAGCTCCAAAGCATCTTCTCAGAGAGGCCTTCCCCACACCCCCCCAATCCAAGGCAGCCCCTTCCAAACAGCAATTCCAATGTATCTTGGTCTGTGCTTTCGTTTCCTTACTAACTGGCCACCTTCTCCATGGAGGCAGGGGACACTATGTCTGCCTTGTTCCCTGCTGTGTTCCCAGTGCCTAGCAGAGTGCCTGGCACAAGGAAGTTTGTGAATAAATAGATGGATCCACGCAGCCAGCATTGTGCTGGGAACGGGGGGGGGGGGATATTAATAAATCAGACCCAGTCTAGGCCCCCACGGACCACATGGTCTAGTGTGAGAAGACAGATGTATGAACAAATAATTATGACACAGTGTGGGGTGTGCTCATAGAGGTAGGTGTGCAGTTTCCCTGGGTCTTGAAGGATGAATAGGAGCTTTCTCAGAAGATAAGGAGGAGAACGATATTCCAGGCAGAGGGGGTGGTGCACAAAAGGCAGGGAAGCATGTAAGGGCAGGATTTAGTTGGCAAAGACCAAAATGGTTGATGAGATCATACAGGAACATCCAGCTGCTCAAGATGAGTCAAAACCTTCAAGAATTCACATAAGCAAAACAAGGGCAATTAATGAGAGGAGCTTGAGAATCACACCCACTACTACAGGGGTCTGGATACCGTTGCATAACAAATCAAGTAGCCTCAGATGTAAACATGATAGAGATTTTTAAAAGAAATATTTCATATGTCAGCATACTGGGCCCACTGATGAGCTGTGATTGGCCCCATTTGGGGTCCTGGTCTCTGGGTGAAAGAGGGGAGGGCAGTTAGGGAGTGCCAAGCCCAAAGGACCCAGGCTATGGTCCCCTGCAACAGAAGGACGATGAAAGAAGACCCATGGGCCCTCTGCCCAGTGATGAGTTTGTACCTGGCAAACAGCAAGCTGGGTGGACCCGTGGGAGCTGGTCTGAGATGAAACATGAGTCAAAGGTGTATCCTACTCACAACACATGACTTGAATCAGAGGCCGTGACTCCTTGGCCTGCTTAGTCTCCTCTTCCTCTTACTGACAGTTCAAATACAGAACAAAGGAAAAATTACAGAGACTTCCACATTATGCACACAAGACCACAACGCCCTTTAATTCCATCATCGTACCTTCCACTTTCATAAGAATCCTAGTAGCCGACGCGGAGATTCTGACAACTCAGAAACAGCCAAACGGAAGAGGCCCGGGGTGAGGTACTGGGTGGAACGGGTGTGTGGCACTTTCATGCTCTCTCCAGGGGCACCACCCTCCCAGCATTTCCATGTGTTCACCGGCCAGGAAGTTCTCCAGACTCCTTCATTTAGGGTTTCTTATGGAGGCCCCACTGCATAGGCATGATTGATTAAATCATTGATCATTCAATCCTTAGTGACTGAACTCAATCTTCAGGCCCACCCCCTCCCTCCCCCAGAGGTAGGGCAGAAGGTTGGGAGTGGGGCTGAAAGTTCTAACCCTCTAATAGCATGGTTGGTTCCTCTGGCAACCAGCACATCCTCCAGAAGTCACCTCATCAGCATAAACTCAGGTAAAGTTGAAAAGAGCTTATTATGAATAACAAAAGTGGCTCCTCTCACCCCCATCCAAGGGTTTTAGGAGCTCTGTGCTAGGAACTCAGAAAGAGACCAAATGTATATTTATTATATTACAGAAGTTTCTCCTTATCCCTGGGGGATACATTCCAAGATCCCCAATGGATGCCTGAAACCACAGATAGTACCAAACCTATATATACAGTGCTGTTTTTTCCTATACATACCTATGATGAAGTTTAATTTATAAATTAGGCAAATAAGAGATTAACACTAATAATAAGATAGAATAATTATAAAAATATACTGTAATAAAAGCATGTGAATGTGATCTTTCAAAATATCTTATTCTGTACCTCGGGTAACTGGAACTGAGGCAAGCAAAGCTGCAGATAAGGGGGTACTACTGTATACCACGTATCACAGGTCTCAGAGGCAAACGTGCCCCCTGACACATACAGTATATTCCACGTCTTCCACATCTGCTCCTGCCACAGGGACACTCCCTCAGGAGCCTGGGTTCATCAGGGACACAGGGCTGAAGTGTGCGAAGCTCCCAAAGCAACATGTCAGGAGGCCTCCTCGAGAGCATTAAGGTGCAAAAGCCAAATAGCATCAGGAAGAAGCAATAATCCAAAGAGGCTAGGAAAGAGGGCCAGAGTCCAGGTCATAATCCAAAAGGACAAGTGAAAATCAGGGTGACATCTAAGCAGATGGTGGGAAGTGGAACTTAAAATCACTTTCCCGCCAATAAGAGGGAAGCTATTGCAACCACCCAAGGAGCTGACCCAGCATGGACAACAGGAGCAAACAGTGTACCTTGGGGACTCTAACGGGGAGCACCCAACCTACCCAGGAAAGGAAGGAGCAATCACAGAGAAGGGCAGTGCTCTTAACGTGCTCAAGGGAGTGGCAGTGGTTATATTGGACAAAACAGTTTTCCTTCTCTCTGGACACTTAACATAGCTCTGCATTTGACCCTGAAGCAGGCAGGCTTCTGATAC